CAGTTTTTGACCACAATATTATAATCGCAGTGATTGACTACAATACTGTATTGGCCAAGTTGATTGGTCACTGTAGCATAATGACTCCAGTTTTTGACCACAATATTATAATCGCAGTGATTGACTACAATACTGCATTGCCCAAGTTGATTGGTCACTGTAGTGTATTGAAACCGGTTATTGACCACAATATCATATTCACCAATGATTGACTACAATACTGCATTGTCCAAGTTGATTGGTCACTGTAGCGTAATGACTCCAGTTTTTGACCACAATATTATAATCGCAGTGATTGACTACAATACTGCATTGTCCAAGTTGATTGGTCACTGTAGCGTAATGACTCCAGTTTTTGACCACAATATTATAATCGCAGTGATTGACTACAATACTGTATTGCCCAAGTTGATTGGTCACTGTAGTGTATTGAAACCGGTTATTGACCACAATATCATATTCACCAACGATTGGCTACAATACTGCATTGTCCAAGTTGATTGAGCACAGTAGTTAATTGATTCGATTTATTGACTACAATATTATACTCAGCAGTGATCGACTACAATACTGTATTGCCCAAGTTGATTGGTCACAGTAGTGTAATGACCCCAGTTATTGACCATAATATTATACTTGCCAGCAATTGTTTACAATACTGCATTGTCCCAGTTGTTAGGTCATAGTAGTGTATTGATCCCATTTATTGACCACAATATCATATTCACCAGTGATTGGCTACAATACTGCATTGTCCAAGTTGATTGATCACAGTAGTCTATTGATCCTAATTATTGACCACAATATTATACTCAACAGAGATTGGCTACAATACTGCATTGTCCAAGTTGATTGGTCACTGTAGTGTAATGACCCCAGTTATTGACCACAGTATTATACTCGCCAGTGATTGACCACAATACTGCATTGTCCAAGTTGATTGGTCACTGTAGTGTAATGACCCCAGTTATTGACCACAGTATTATACTCGCCAGTGATTGACCACAATACTGCATTGTCCAAGTTGATTGGTCACTGTAGTGTAATGACCCCAGTTATTGACCACAGTATTATACTCACCAGTGATTGACTACAATACTGCATTGTCCAAGTTGTTTGGTCACAATAGCGTAATGACTCCAGTTTTTGACCACAATATTATAATCGCAGTGATTGACTACAATACTGTATTGCCCAAGTTGATTGGTCACTGTAGTATATTGAAACCGGTTATTGACCACAATATCATATTCACCAATGATTGACTACAATACTACATTGTCCAAGTTGATTGGTCACTGTAGTGTAATGACTCCAGTTATTGACCACAAAAATGAGTTGGCGAAGCTTGTTTCAAACTATGACTTTGGTACTGGAAGTCAGTATCTACCACACTTGACAAAGGTTTGATATCTGTATAAATGTTTGGAGAACACATTCACTTTTGGCATTTATAGCAAATGAATACCATTCCATTGACATCAATGGGATGAAGTAGACTGTTTATTTATTTTTGCAGGATTGATGTGGCCAAAGTCTTTAATTGTAACTTGTAGCCATGCCAGTTCATTTTAGCCGCTACACTTGGGGGGAGGGGGGGGGGGGGTCAGCATCTTGTGAACATCACATCACCAAAAGTTGTGAGAGGTTTACAAAATGTTAACTGATATTTGTTGGCATTACAAATAAATGAATGAAACAGCATGGCTATGGGTGGAAATTAACTAAGAATATTCACCAAAAATAAAAATTTATTAACTCAAATGCACATTTGTTGAAGAGCAAATACGGTGTGCGAAAGATCACAAAATGATGAGGGATAATCAATTTGGGTTAAAAGAATAAAGAGAAGAAACAAGTACATTTATCATATCACATCATTGCTGTTTTATTACATTGATACCATAAATATAAACTTATCAGCCATAAAAACTAGAAAGGCATTCAAGATCTTCTAAAATAAAAAAAAAAAAACTGAACACGTTACTTTGTGTGTGTGTATATATATATGTATATATATATATATATTGTTGGAGCAACAAACAGTACTTTTGTTCTATTAAAAGCATTAGTGTGTTTTTTTTCTTCTAACAATGCGAAAACAAAAGTGACCACAGACTACATTGTTTTTGTTAATCATAAGGATACTCTTATAGGAATGATCTGAAATGCAGCACTAATTTAATTATAGTTTTTTTCAGAAATACTTGGTATTTCATTCACACAATGCAGACTTCTGCAGATTCAAGGTATTTTTTTTTTCTCTCGATTTAATATATCAGATTTTGGTAGAATCTAAAAATAGGATTTTAAAACTTTGATCTCTAAGTTTTCAAACTGTTGTTTTGTTTGAAATAAAATTACAAGTCTGGCCTTAAAAGAGGACAATGCCTTGAAGAATTATGAAAAAAAAAGAAATTTGAGTAAATTTTTTTTTACAAATAAAACAAACCTAAGAATGTTATTCACAATAGTAATATCAATATCACGTTTTCACATTTGTACCACAAAAGATTACAAATTTCCATCTAAAATATACGAATTTTTAAAAACGAGCCTAAATACAATAAACTCTAAACTCTATTTGATAATATGGCACGTGATAGATCAGTTATACTTTGGGAAAATATCTCTATATATTTAAAAAAAAATAGTGTTAAAATACAGGGGTTATTATCTGTAATATTATTATCAATATTTTAAATTCAAGTATCATTTTTTTTTCAAGAAAACAACACAAGGAGTTGATAAGCCTGGCTTGTGTGATTTACTCAGCAGCACAAGGATTAAAGACACTAGTGCTTCACCCATTCTAGTTTTTCACCACCACACGCACTTTCTACTCAGTTTTTCAATCAATATAATATTTTAAAAGCGATTTTCTATATTTCTCTTCATCTGGTTGCCATGGCAATAACATCCATATAGAGAGGTAGAAAAATATTCCTGTTACTAAAAGTTATTCTCGCTAGAGAACATGCATTGGTCAAAACTAGAATTTGTGAAATTTACACGCCGCTTTACAGATCATTCCAGTGGTAAGAAAAAAAAAATGGTTTGTTATCCTTCCACTGTGTTTAGTTTTTCTAAAAAATACATGATTTTTTTTTTCTCATGAAAATCACAGCATTTCATTTTGTAATCTCGGTTGCTGAAAAATACAATAGATTTAGACAAAAAAAAGTATTTTAAAAATACATCGTACAGCGACATAGAAATAATGTATTTACTGCATTGTAAAGGAATATTAAAACATAAACATTAGCATTTGGCGAGATGGCTAAACATCAATACAACTCTATATAACACTGCTAAAAAATTGGAACTATATGCAATAGACATCACAGAGAAATTATCTTTCACTTTTTTTTTTACACGCGACATTATTCATGAAAATACGAATAAATTTCAGCTGGTTTTTTTTTGTTTTATTTTTAACATTTCTTTTTTTTATCTATCATGTTACAATTTCAACAATTCCAATTTTTCGCATCTTTTAAGATGTCTCAGTATGTATATCATAGACAATGTGATTCATCAGAGAAAATAAAAAATAAAGAAAAGTATTGTACAAAATCACCTTCTGAAATCTTGCTTAGAGCCTTAAAAATAAAAAAAAAGCCTGCCACAGAACAGATACAAATGCACAAGGTGTTTGTTGCACTACAGAAAAAACAAAAAAAAACACAAAAGCTAAAATCGATCACCCGACCGTCATCAACATTGTTCTGTTGTGTAATGGTTATATACATCATTGACCCGCTGCTGTACTTGTACATTGCAACGACCCACTAATTAAACAACAGAATTTATTAATTTAATCAATTTAAAAAATAAATGAAATTTTAAAACTATAAACTAAAGGCAGGCTTCTAAATAACAAGATGTGGGACACATTCCAAAAGAAATGCTTTAAGCAATTTCAAAATTTCTCTACATCAAAGGACAGTTTTTTTGAATAACAAAAAACATTCATTTCTATAAGAACTATATGATTCAAGTACGTGGGAAAATCATTGTAACAAAGCAAGTGATAGCTAAATACTGCACATTGACAGGAACATGTAAGAGTTCAAGTTCAGAAAGATATTTTTAGCAACAAAGTTGCCTGTAATCGTGACATAGAAAATCACATTTTCACATCTCTTTGCACACCAGTGCAAAAATTATAGTATACATATTTCAGTGAAATTTCCTTGTCGATACATGAAGTAACTATTCTCCTGTACAATAGTTTGAAAATCATTGCTTCAAACACACTGGGTTGCAGTCACACACCTACAAATTTATTTGTTTCTACTTTTTAGTGGCATTCAGAATGCCAGAATTCTAATTCAAAATATAGATGTTCTGTTGAAAAAATTTGATAATATATATATATATATTTTAAAAAGCCTCAATTACAGTACACTACAGACCACAAAAAGTACAAGCTTTTTTTTTAATGTTTAAACCAACTAATAGAAGTACAGCATAAATGGGACAACTATGAAAAATCTATGGTAACATCCCACGTATGCTGAACTAGCAGACGCACTCACTTCCACTACAAGTGAAATGCATGCAGTTTTTTTGTTTTGTTTCATTTCTTTTAAAAATACAATATATATCACAAGTTAAGTCTTTCAAGTACTAAAATTTAGCAGCTTTTTGGTTAGCTTCGTGCTTAAGATCAAAATATATAGTCAGCCTTGGTAGGTAGTAGGTAGGTAAGGTCAAAGAAAGTCTATTGTTGTTACCCACGTATACTGGGTAAATCTGCTGGGGGGAAAAAGACTAAACCTGCAATGCTGGCTACAAGACGAACAAAACAAAAATTAATTTTTTTTTTATCTAAGAAAGTACAAATAGAACATAGATACATATTTATGTTCAGTTTTACAAAAAAAAAAAAAAATGACCAGAAAAAGTTACATGTAAACATCACATTTCTTCTAAATACTACTATAATGACTGGCAACACCACTTGTGTTCACGAATTCTAGAAACATTCATTCACTTGATTAGATCAGTGTTTTACACGACGATTAGACGACCACAGGCTATGTAATTAATTAATATTCTCCTTTCTCTCTCTCCCAGAATATGCTAAATGAGCAATTAATAATCAACCACTCCATAAAAATAAACTTGACAACATTGTGCCAGTAATGCCTGACTATCTGATATGGTACAAATTACCATTTTCCTATACACTGCACTTGATTCTGGTCATTCAGAAAAAAACTTTCATTTTAAAATTTCCCAACTGCTGGGGTTGGTTGGAACCCGAGTCACGAAAATTTATCAGCCTTTGTCTCAGATTTACTCTTCAATTGAGAAATGGAATGATCTGAAGTGCTGGCCTTGTTGAAATGAACTGCTGCACTGGAGCTGCTTTCTCCTTTACTGTCTGTACTGGATTCCTGAGTAGAGGTGGAGGTACTTGAAGATTTAGATGTTCTATCTTTCTTCTTGCTGCTGCTGCTGCCCTTCTCTGCTTTTCCAATTGTTGGGCTAAATGCAGTGGTGGCAGAGTGGGGACTTTGATGCTGCGATGGAAATAGATGAGACTGGAAACCCATCTGCATAGAGGGATCATACGGGAAAAAAGCCGCAGTCTGATTCGGTGAGTAGAGCGGGTAGACAAATGGAGCTTGGGCGTAATAGGGAGCCATTCCTCCAAAAAAGTAAGACATATAGGCAGCTTCAGCACTATTCATTGATGGGAGAAAATTAGATTGGGATGCTGCGGCCAAGGCTGCAGCATTCTGACTTGTGCTGCTACTACTAGTACTGGCTTCGGCACTCTCTTTCTTCTCTTCTTTAACACTAACTTCTTCCTTAGTGCTGCTGGTGCTAGTTTCTGCTGTGGTCTGCCCAAGGAATGCAGACATTGCTTGTGCCTGTACTGACTGTAGCTGGGCTGCTGAAAGACCAGACATATGACCCTGGCTGAGCAGTGCTGCCTGATGATTGGGAAGGTAACTAGCAGCTAATGCTCTCTGTGCTTCGATAGGATCAGAATGTTGCAACAGCTGGCTTACAGAAGATGATGAATCTGATGTGTCTTTTTCCATCTGCCCACTCACATACTTCTTCACATTGTGAATGTGTGTCTCTGTAAAAACATGATCTCGGATAGATAGTTTTGCAGAGTACTGGACTCCACACAACTTACAGGAGTCACGAGGTCCATCAAAATTGGTCCCTATTAGTCCAAACTGTTTTGCTATGCTAATTTTGGACTTCTTCTCTTTGGCCCGTGCATTCTGGAACCAGACTTGCACCACTCTCTTTGGTAAGCCAATGTCATTACCAAGAAGCTCACATTCGTGCATTGTCGGTGTTCGGTAGTCAGTGAAGCAGCACTTCAGCACCTTCAGCTGCAACTGGTTCATCTGAGTGCGGAACCTCTTTCCACATTCTCTCGCTTGTTTACGTTGTTCAGCATCAGTCAAGTTACTATCTGTAATTCCACTATTTGAGTCATCAGGACCAATGTTGTAGGAGTAGGTGTAGGAGGTGGTTTCAGACATACAGATACTGTCTGTATCATTTACAGACTCTTCTTCATCATCATCTCCTTCCATATCTCTATGCCTCTCCTCATTGCTGAAGCCGGTGCCAACACTTGAACAAGCAGATGAATCAAAATCTTCAGGATTATTCTCGATCAGATCTTTGCTACCTTCCTCTGCATCTTGACTGCTATCATCTTGAGAGTCTGAAATCACAATGCAATCTTCTGGTGCTCTACGCATTTTAGCTGACTTATCATCACTCTTAGAACTGGAGCTAGATAGATTTAAAGCTTTTTCACCTTCACCACCTTCATCTACAGACTCAGCTTTCATAAATTCTTCATACAACTTTGATGAGCTTTCTTCAGCTGCAAGCTCTGCATAATCTATAACATCACTTTGCTTCATTAGAGCTTCCAAAGGCTTTCCATTAACTAACTGGTCCCAGTGACGTGCTTTAATATGAGCCTCCAAAGCTGACTTGGCTTTGAAGATAGCACGACAGAAGGGACATTTCTTGTGTAAATGATTAGGTGCTGATAATCTGAATTGGCCTTTTCTTTCACGGGCTCTGGTATTCTGAAACCATACCTGCACCACGCGTTTCTTCAGTCCAACTTGTCTGGCAATCATGTCTAACATGCGTCTGGTTGGGTTGCTGTCTTCTTGGTATTTCTGGTACAGAATCTCAAGTTGTTGAGGTGAGATTGTAGTACGTAAACGCTTGTCCCTATGTTGATGATCTTGATCTGCATTTGATTGTGTTTCTGATGCATTAGAAGCGTCATCTGTTTCAGAGAGTTTCCTCTTGCCAGTTGGAGATGTCTCCGATTTGGGTGTGGAGAAAGCCCCAAAATACTGTTCTGCTGTCAACCCGTTCATGCTACTACCATCAAATGGCATGTACATCATGTTGAATGGACTTGCATGCTGAGGCATATATGATCGAAATGGTTGCATGAAATGGACTTGCTGGTGCTCATGCCACTGCTCAAACTGTGGAAAGACCAATTCACATTTGTCACACTGGTAGTGTACTTGTGGTGGTTGACCAGGCTCTGATTTTATGTCTGACTTCTTTTCTTCACTCTTGCTGGGAATAGGCGTTTCAGCATGGGAACTTGTCGGAGTGGTCGGTGAGGTTGGAGTAGAAGAATCAGCATAACTGTTATTGGAACTGTCATCATCTTTATAACAGTGTTGTTTTTGATGCTTGATGAGTTCAAAGAATCTCTGGAATACCAACAAACATTTGTTGCACTGGTAATTTAGACCGGGTGTGCGACGGTAACGAGTACCACTGTTATCTGTATCAGCTTCAGGTTGAGGCTGGTTCTCAAACATCTTCCTTGCTTTCTGTCTGGCATTCTGGAACCAAACAACAATTACTCTTGGACTAAGGTTCAGCATCTTGGATAACTGTTCCAAGTCATCATCTTTGGGATAGGCATTGTTCTCAAAGAATTCTTGCAGCATCTTGATTTGATAGTCAGTAAATCGAGTACGCCCTGCTCGCTTTGAACTACCACTGGAGCAAGATGTCATGGTCATTGATGATGAAGATTGAGGAGGTGGAGTGTCGGAAGTTGGTGGCATATGCATTGATGTACTACTGATAGGGATAGATGATGTTGGACTGGGTACAATAGATGTTTCTGCAACAGATGATACTATTGTTGTAGTATCAGTCATAATAGTGGGACTGATAGGAGATCTTTCAACTGTGGATTCGTTAATTGCACTGGGTTCTAATTTTGCACTGATCTGGGGTTCAGCTAGAGAGATAGGTTGTGGTGTTCCAATAGGTTCACTACCAACAGATGATGCAGAGCTTTCTGAAGTCACTGTTTCGGTGTCACCCTTCTTTTCAGTGGATGTTGTCATTACATTTGTCTGTGACTTCAGGTGGAAGAGCTGTAGAAGGTGGGTTGTTGAAGTTGTAGGGAGAGTCCTTGTTGCGTTGACGCTCTTTGAAGAGAGTATTTCTGAACCAATGTTTGATGACCTTGTGAGGAAGGCCAGACTTCTCAGACATTTCGCAAATTTGGTCTTCACTGGGTGAATTATTTATATCAAAGTGTGCCCGTAGAATCTTGAGTTGCTCATCTGTGATGCGAGTTCTTGCACGCTTTGGTGATTTCTGCATGTAGGCTGTTGGATCGATGTAGGATATGTTCTGCATCGTCTGAAGTTGCATGGGAAGAGAATTTTGTATCATCATCTGGGTTGATGGTGAAGGAACTGCGGGTGGTGGCATAACACTTGTTGTGGCTGAAGCGGTTGCAGCAGATGGTATGATATCAAGCTGTGTTGGAACAACTTGAGCTTGTGGAGTAGCTGCTTGTTGGCTCTGTGATGCCTGAGAAGTTGATACTTGTTGAGCTGAAACTGCACCAGTGTCAGATGGGGTGCCAGGAGCACTTGTCTCTAGCACGGATGTGACCAAATTATTTTTCTCCTCTTGAAGTTTATCATATTCATCTCTGTAGGATTCGGCAAACTTATGAATCATTTTAGTAGGCAAAAATGATTTGTGCACTTGTTCAGCATGTGCTTTGAAGACCCATATACTTGAGAATTCTTTGTCACAGTAATCACATTTGAATTTGTCTTTGGGATCAACATTCGGTGGTAAGCCCTGGGCACTTTCATTAAACTGCTGGACCAGATCAAATCCATAGCTTTCCAAGTAGCTTTTCATGATGGCATAAGATGGACGTGGTGTGTATGTCATGTAGGTCTTTTGCTGGGTGGAAAACTGAGCAGCTGTAGCAGTATCACTTAAGTAGCATTGAGTCTGTTGGTGTTGAATAAGAGTTTCTTGTGACATAAAAATAGAGTTGCAACGGCTACAGCAGTACATTCCGTTGGCAAATCCGGATGACAACATTTGCTGCTGGAAGAGTGCCAGTGTATTGGGATCCATCAATTGTTGTGTGAGTGCAACAGCAGCAACTGCATTTGCTGCAGCAGTATTGGCGGCATCAGTGTTTTGTGCAATCTGAGCTTGTACTAGTTGTTGTGTAGCATCAGCAGCTGCTGCAGCAAGTAATTGCTGCTGGAGACTAGATGTGATCTGTTGCTGTTGATGCTCAGATGCTGATGCAATTGAGCAGGTGATATCAGGGACTTGTCCTATGTGCTGAAGTCCCCCAAAGGCTCCCATGCGTCTAACTTAGCTGCTCTTGTCTGGTGCAATACTGACCGCATGTGGATGTCTAAAGTTGATCCTTGACTGTACGCAACTTTGCAGATGTTACACTTGTAGGGCTTTTTATCGTTGCTTGGTGCTGGTTCTGAAGAAGAATTTTCATTGACATTCAAGCTTCGCTTTAACTTATGAAGATGTGACACTGAATTGTAGTGCACCAGAAGAATATTCTTTTGTGTGAATGACTCTTTGCAAGTCTCACATTTATAAGGTCGGTTTGGATCCAGATACTTGTCCATAGTATAGGCTGCCTTGCATCCTCTACGATGTTGCAATGTTTTGTGATGATTACTGAGCTCACTCTGTTTGGTAAACCCAACTTTACAACGGTGGCACTTGTATTTACGTGTGGGATCATGGTAAGTTTCTTCAGAAGGCTGAGGCCCATCTTGGAGTGCATCATCATCTGGACCATTCTCTGCATCACAGTCTTGTTCACTTGACAAATCCATTGCCTGGCTGCCTTCATCCTCCAACATAGTGTCAGAGGACAGACTATCTTGAGATTTTTCGTCAAGGGCATCAGGTGTCAGGGCTTGCATGGACATTTCACTCGCAGTTTGCTGAGCAAACACAGAACCACTAGCTAAAGACACAGGAATACCCATACTATTGGCAATCATTACAGCTGCTTCCTGAGATGTGGATGATGGTAAATTCATATACCCACTTGCATTGTTTGCCAAGCTGAAATACTGAGCAACATCAGAGGCTGGTAATTCCAAGTGATTCGTCTCCATGTGCTTTCGAAGGGCTGATAGTGAGCGGAAACTTCTATCACAGATTGTACATTTAGTAGCTGCACGGATCATGTGATATTGAGAGTGAACCTGCAATTTCTCCAATGTTTTAAAAGCCAAGCTGCACTGATTGCATCTATACTTGTAGACATGTCTCTCGGAAACTGGCAGCTGGGGTCGCTTCGCATGAATTTCTTTGAAATGCATTTGTAGAGCTGCTGATGTCTTGAAGTATTGATTGCAGCCTTTCTTCCAGCATAGGAAACCAGGACCTCCAGGAGTTTCTTGCTCCTTTAACGGGCAGACTTCATTCTGGTGTTTGTAAAGACCATCAAGTTGCTGAAACACCTGATGACACTTCTGACATCGATACTGGTCTCCAGACTCAACATCACTTCCCTGATTAGCATCACTAGACTCTTCAATTTTACTAGCAAACATACTTGAACCAGGACTCTGACAGGTGGGACTATCAAGGCCTTGCGACTGGGATGCTCCTGGTGAAAGAAGACTGGTAGGAGACGCACTCGGTGGGTTGCCGGTAGATACCAGCCATTCACTCTGCTCCACGCCAACCATTAATCTTTGTAAGCATTCGCGTGATACACTATGGACCTGTACCAGATGGATTTCTAAGTTAATCTTATTTGTACACATATCTTGACAGAGAGGACATCTCAGTACAGCTTGTGGCTTCACACTGTGTTGTGACAGTACATGAGCTCTGATGCGATCTTGATCAATGCTACTGTACTTGCAGTATGGACATGTGTAGATTTGCGTTGTAGTTGTACGCATATGTGATCCATCAGTACCAGCGGAATCTGAGCTTGGCTTTTTAGGAGATGAATGACTTTGGCTACTAGATGGACTTTTCTTTTCTTCGTTGCTCCCTTCACTGGATTTGTCCTTCTTCGACAGATCAAGGACACCTTCATTTACACCACTGTGACTGGCTGCAGTGCTGTCCTCTTTTTCTGTTTTCTGTCTCTCAAAACCTTCTTCTGTTTTCAGATGTTTCATTGAACGTACATGCTGAATCAGACTGAGTTTGGCCTTGGTGGAGTAATTGCAAATATTGCAGTGATAGTATTTAGATTCTGAGTTGATAGTAATATTAATTTGTTGAAGATGTCTGAATAACTTCAGGCTTGTCTCATGGCGGTAGTTTGCCACATGAGCACGTAGCTTCTCAACACTGTAGGTGTAGTAGTCACAGGCATTGCACTTCACTTGAGTGGGATTGCTGACATTCATATATTTTAGTCGCCATTCATTCTGTGAACCACCTTCTTTGATGTGGTTTACTAACTGCAGTTTCTGGATGTGTTTGTCAGTTTTGCAATGAAGTTGAAAGTTGGCTTTCAGCTGGGTGCTGTAGTTGCAGAGGTTGCAGCGAATGACATCACCAATATGAATCTTCCAGGAGCTATCAGTGGGAACACTCCTGTCTTGATGAATGTGATCGTAGAGAACATCTAAATCATCATTACAGAATTTGTTACATACAGAACACTGAAACATTTTCAATGGTTCATTTTTGGAAGGATCTTCGTCAACTGGTGGTTGATCATCTCCCATTGTAGCTTCAACTTCCATCATCTCAGGTGTGATCTGTCCAGCCATGGCTGCAGCGTACATGGCTTGATCGTATGGATATTCCCCCATCACTGCATGTGGGTCTATGTGAGCATCTGTAGCAATTGAAATTGGGACCATGTTTTGTGCCATAAGTCGATACATTCCCTCATCTGCCTGAAAGTTACCAAGATTCATTTGCAGGTCATGTTGCATCTGAGTGACATTGTGCTGAACTGCAAGCATGTTGTGCATGTGTTTCTCGCTGGTCATGTGGATACGCAGATTTCTGGCAACATTGGTTTCATACTCACACACCTCACATCTCCAGGTTGGCTTAGGTTTTGGCTTTGATGCAGTGGATTCACCAGCTTTAGACTGGGAAAATAGATGTTCAGTGCTTCCAGTAGATACAACAGACGCAGTAGCAGCAGATACTGCACTACCAGACTGAAGTTCTTGCAAGTTGTTAAGATGCTTGTCAGACTGCATGTGAATACTCAAGTTGCCTTTTGTGGTAGTTGAATAGTTGCAGATTTCACACCGGAAAGGCTTGTAACCACAGGTGTACGTTTCACCTCTTGCTAGGCGGGGGTGTGATTGGTTACTATGACAATAAACACATTTTGTTTCTGCCTCTGGATGTTTCTCTTTCATGTGGGCTTCTAGTGTCTGCTGGTACTTGTAATGCCAATTACATTTTGGACATTTCAAAGTCTTACAAGAGTTGCGCGAGTGCATCATTGTCATATGTCCACCAAGTGACCGAGATGAACCAAGAACCATGTCACATTTAGGACACTCCACGCTACTGGAAACTCTGTTTGAATGGTCATGATGATGATGATGGTGGTGGGTATGATCAGAAGTGTTATAAACAGCTAACTCTTTGGATAGAGAATGCCGCAGTGAATGGTGTTTGTCTGTGTTGAGTTGGTCATCTTCCTCAACTTCACCTGCATTGCATTTTGGTGAGTCCTCAGTGTCTTTGGCAGTACTGCGTTTATAATCAATACAAGTAGAAGTACTGTGTTCACTGGCTAGATCCTTGTTGCTGGATGATCTACTAGAAGACGAAAGCTTCTCCTCTAAGGTGGGTGATTTTGTTTTTGACACCTCAGGTGCCTCTTTTGCAGCAGATGTATCTTCTGGTGTTTCCTTAGTGTTTGACACTGACAGGTTCTTAAAATCAATTAGACTTTCAGCTTTTGAACTTAATGTTCCTTCATTGTTTTCCATGACACCACTACTTGGGCTCATTTCATCATCTTCATAATCTGCAGACAGGTGGTTTACATTCCTCTCCTTTTGTGATATGTTTTTGGGGAGATTTTGCTCCTTAGGAGCGACGGAGTCTCGAGAGTCCTCATTTTGACAGGAAGAAGAGTTGTGACCATGTTGCTTTGGAGAAATCTCGACTGACAGACTGTTGCCCTCAATGTGAGCGGTACTTGTTGTAACAAGTGAAGTGTTAGTACTGGCTGGGACAGAAACTGGATAGATATAGCTAACATTTGGTTGAGAACTACTCAACAGCTGCTGGTAATAACTTTGCCCATTGGTGGTGTAACTACTTGAACTCGTAGCTTGTGTCTTCACTGGCTGAGGCTCCAGGAATGACAGTAATGGTTCTTTCTCCTTTCCTAGTCCTTGAATGATCGCAGACTGATTTTTTCGCGCCATAATGTTTTTCTCTTTCTCATTCAGGCTCAGCTTGTGTTCATTGGCAGCATGCCCAACAAAAGATTTGGCAAAGCCAAATGACAGTTTACAGAGAAAACACATAAGTATTGGTTTAGAGCTATCGAAGATGAGGCTTTTCTCTGCCGGTTTTTCCAATTCGTTCTCTTTACTATCGCCTTCCTTTTTCTTGTTTCCTGTGCGTACATCATAAACACGATAACTCTGCATGATTGGAGTTGTGTTATTTTCAGAAATATTCATTCCAAATTGCGACATATTTGACATGTTCATGAATGTTGGAGTGCATGGAATATGAAGAGCATTTACAATCGGTGGTTGGACTGTCAACTGATTGGTGTGTGAGTTATAGCGCAGACCAAGCCCTTCAAGAGACTTTGGTATACTTGGTGCAATCTCATCATCAGACTCACCAACTTGGTCTATAAGATATGCCGAGCCATCAGGTTGATACACTATTTTACCCTCAAAGTTCTCAATGTCACTGAGTTCATTTTCATCACTGTTATCGTAGAGGTAATCTTCTTCTGGTTTCACTGTGTTGTTCAATGATCCAGAACAACTATGCTCCATATATTTTTGTAAATTGTTGAATCGTTCCATGCACTCGCCGCAAGTTACTCCATTGGTATCCAGCAGAGGGTTAGATGGCACAGAAGGATTTCCATTGCAAGTGGTTAATGATTGTCGCTTCTCCGTTAAACTTTCACTGGTTGGTGGCACTCTGGCTGGAGACTTAGATTTTGGGGTTGAAATTCGTGTTTCGCTTCCTAGTTGTTCGCCATCGCTGAATTCCCCGGACAAGTTGGGAGTATGTGGTACTCCATCCAGAGCGAGGGAATCAATTTCTAGGCTCAATACCTTGGAGGCAGTTTCCATGGTAACATCAAGTGAAATTAACCAATCAAACACCTAGTCATTTCATTTGTTTTGGTATACAATATCCAATCTAGAAAAAAACAAAAGAAAGACCAAGTAAGTAATACATTCATCACAACATGTTATAAAGACCAGAAGTACTCATTGGTCACTGATTTCTAACTATTGATAGCACATTTTTTTTTTTTAAACTTTGAAAATGTTGACCCAGACATATATCAAGAATTATGCTACAGAGTATACTATGGCAGACTAATAAATTTATTTCTGCAATGCCATATGAATATTGTTTCTCAACCAGTCAGCAATATATTCACTTAAGCTATATAAACTTCAGATTGGAGAGTTTAAAGACGACAAAAGGAACTATAATGTGCTATGATAAGATAACAAGATGTTCGCATACAGTACATACACCACTGCTTAAAAAAACAAATTACAAATTATGTAGATTAGAAGCTCAAGCGGAACCATCTTATCAAACTAGACACAAACTAAATAAAAATCTGTTGAAAATAAAAAGATAGTAGGGTACATAGATAATGTACTTTTTCAATAGTGTTGCACACACTTGTATAGATGATATATCTACAATCAAAATAAGTTGTATTTTAATTTTTGGTTTTAACATTCTGTTAGAGATGCATTTTCAATAGAGCAAATATGGTATATGTGAAATAAATAAACCAAGGTTTTTTTTTATATATTTAAAATATTTTTACAAGAAATACAGCAACCACATGACCATAGTAGATATCACCAAACTTACTGGCACAACATATAATGAATTTACAAAGAAATTGATCTACATGGTGTAAAAGCATAGCTTACAATCAATACATACAAATATAGAATTTTTAAGATGGCCATTGGATCAGATCTCCACACAAAATGACAAGTATCTCAAAGTTCTATATAACTATCAACTTGAGTTACCTACGGTAAGTTCAAATTATATTATTCAAAGGCATGGCTGAAAAACAGGTGTGCACAGGCTAAACCCATAATTTGTAAACTGCTCCACCCCTATCGTATGAAGAGATTTTGCAGGAATAAGGCACAAAATAACAAAAAAGTTATTGATTTTAAAAGACACGGTTCAATACTATGAAAACAGATGCAGATATGATAAACATCAGATTACTAGAAATTGACAAAACATCAGTGCGTGTCAACTGTGAAAGACCATCCAACCTCCAAAAATAACTTTATCAAAAAATACATGTTAAAGCAAAAAAATCAACTTAATTACTGATGGAAAATTTCTATGAAGTGGGACTTCATTTTTATTTTTAAGGTAAATAAATGATGTGAAACATCACATGGAGTTGGTAGGTGGCGATGACAGCAGCAGTTGTGGTTGTAACTGTCTTCCTTGACGGAGAGTGAACACAATGCCGGACACCACAAATATTGAAACTCCGAGTCAAATTTACTATTGACTAAAAGCCATTCTAATTACGAGTCACAGATGACACCACGAAAGCACCACTTCGATTCCTTTGTTCATCTTTGTTACTCCAGAAAACATGCAAACGAGAACAAAAGCTCCGTAATCCCTTCTAAATACCATACAACATCAGCAACTGTGAAAACAATGCAAAAAACAGCCTTTGCTGTCTAATATGGTAAAATAATAATCATCTATACTCAGTTTGACCTAGACTCAATGGTTATATTAACTTTGTGTCTAAAGCTTGCTATTGATAACAATACAAATTTGGGACTAGTTTTTGAATTAAAATAATGTTGATTTCAGCAGAAACACTCTGAGATGGAATCGATCAAGAACAAAGAACGAGTTGTTTAAGACAAGATGCGTAACAATATGCAGATATCAGTCTTATTTCGCAAGAATATAATAAGTCCTAAATAAAATGGGCAGAAAAACAAGCTATTTTTCATCAAGTTATTACCATTGACTGATTTTCACAATTTTGTTTCTGATTACCTACACTACTTTTTGAAAATGGCATTGTTCAATATTGTGTGTGGTTAAAAGCCTCCTTGAGAGCACAGTCATTCTCCCTGGATCATTTGAATATGAATGTTGGTGTCAGTTGTTCACATTGTTTTGATGGTAGGGCTATTATTTCAACAGAGAAAAAAAAAATCAAATATGGAACCCACTTTCCATATTTGAGGGATTAGCGAGTAAAAACAAATTTCCCAATTGAACATTCAATTTGAATACGTGTTTGAGTATAAGGGCACTTGTGTAATATTTCCATAAAATAAAAATCTACTTCACCATATCCAAATTATTCAACATTTTTTCTATCTGACCAGTCTGCAGTTCTGTTAGAGACTGAAAAGCGTACTTAAATTAATTCTGTCACTGTAGAAGTTTTTTAAACACCAGACTGATTATTCAATGTTGTAGAGAACTACAGGCTATAACTACACATTACCATCAACATGATTCCTGTAACAAACTAGAATCAGTTAAAGACGATACTAACCCCAACAGTGTTCTCGGACTATGAATAAATACATACAAGTGAAAAATACCCATCCATTTTAAACATGTCAAAAACTAACTGCAGATTATCAGTGACTAAATTTACATAATTACCACAAATTATCCCTCTTTGAGCGAAATCGAAGAAAAAAAAACATGCCAAGTTCACTCTCAGCAACTGAACTGGCAGTCCGCATAAAATCAAAGTTTTCTCCAATTAACGATTATATTGGTATTTCCTAATTTCCAATATACATTTAAAAAGTAGCTATTCTCTGGGGAGGTGTAGCATACTTGAAGATGGTAACACATGCAAATAGCTAAACTAGCAATCAGAAACATGCTACTTTGAGCCAGGTATTTTTTTTTTCACCCTGTGTTTAGGGGCTCAGACAATTGCTTCAGCAATTCAGTAGAAACACTTGAGGCAAATAACGTAACAGAAAGTAGAACACACATTTGTTTAAGATGGAATATATTCTTTAGAAAAAGAGAAATTTCAATTTTTAGCATATTGTAAGAATCGATATTTATTTACCTGTAGGAAGAGTTTCCAGATTTAAAAATACCTAAATATAAATGATCCACAGTAACATGGAGATAATATTTATACTCACAGTACTGAAATATAGATGGGCCTTATTATCAATGATGTTTCAGCCCTGCACAGAACCGCATATTAGAGTGTATATACATGTATTGAAATACACACGCATACATCATATAAACACGCGTACAAGAGCCATTAAAAAGAAAAGCAATTAAAAAATGAAAAGTATAAAATCCAGTCATTAAGCAAGCCTTTATAGTGCTGTCAAATTAGCATTGAACACTGGCATTTACAGAAATACTGCCTCCAACTAATTTGCAAATATCTAATAAAAAAGTGATAGGAAAGATATGACATACAAGCTTTGCATACTAGGCAGTAGTTGTTATATTTCTATGGTGACTGAAACACAATACATCCTGGAGAGCAACTTGAGACGTGGAGATGAGAGAGCGAACACTGACACACCTAGAGAGATAGATTTCGACAGAATTGTCTCCTCCTCTACAATGCAACTGCAATACTATCATTTTAATCCCTCTAGGGGGAATATAAGACTTTACATTCATCCACTTCATTGTTTTCTCTTGATCTTCACAGCCGCAATCTTATATTTCAACATCATAAATGCATTTTAAATTTTTTTTTCTCTCTCTCTTTATGTTTTCCCCCCCTACAGGCTCCATTGTCTTTTATGGGGACATTATAATGGAGACATATGCAAAGTGTTACGTTGGGCTACATCTATAGATAATTTTGAAATTCAGCAGAGACTTAACAAGCTCCTGACATAATGGGAGAAAATGCATTTCCGTACTTCATTATGAATTATCTTTTGTACATGGATGCACATATGAAAGAAATACATCATATTTTGTTGTAGAAAGGTTTAAATTGGTGTGAACTTATGATCAATAATAATACAAATATGTGACATATAGCATAGCGGTTGGCAAATGTCAAAGCAATTATTCCAAATGAGAGATTTAGATACAGAGAAGAATGGAAGAGTAGGGGGGTGTTGTTGTTGTTCTTTGGTAGAAATAGCCTTTGTCAGTAGAGACATCATTACAGAAATCATTCATTATGAGGAATGATCAAATATAAAATCAGACACTAATCACAGGCATCAGCGGCAGCTACATACAAGGGAAAATAAATTACTCCATTATGGAGATAAATTTGCAATAATTATTGCCGATTTATTTTACTTTAAGTCTGACTGCCGAGTCATCACCCATCTAAAGACATCATGCAGCTTGATAGGCACTGAAGATGAAACACGCAACAACAGATTATGAAAGCCACTGAATAGAAACTATACGTGTACTAGGCAATGCGTGATCAATGAACAACGCACAAAGGATACAGAGAGCCCTGTTAAGAAAAGACATTGCTGCTGCAGTGTACTTGTGGCTAAACAATTTTTCCAACACGAAAATAGCTGCGGTGAGATAAAAGCCGACTGCTGGTCACAAGTAAAGTAAGTGGGGAATAGTGAAGTTGCTGCTGCAAATGAATATGAAGAAACTTGAGGACGAAGATGTATAAATTTCAATTAACCTAGTATAAAGGATGCTGCTCTCTGTGTAACATTACTGGTATCAAGTTTGTTCGCTTCATCAAAGCGACTTCCTAAAGACATGAAGCAAATCTGTATGCATGTCAGATCGTAATTTTGATGAAGATTTAAAATGACATCTATAAAGTTTTCAATAGAATGCACGGTGATTTTCCAGCAAATCCGTAAAACAGAAAGAAAAAAAGACCTCATCTTGCTCTCTCAAAGCATGTTCATTTCAGTGCCTTTGTTGTTTTAGATTTAATGGTGTATTAATAGGACTCCGTCTTAACAATTGATTGTGTACAAGGGTCTGAAAAGAAGGTTTTCTTCAAACAATGGTGTATGCATCGTGGAATGCCTTGAACCCCTGTTTCACTCTCACACTTTGTTCAAGCCATTGGTTTTTCGCTCTGTCTGGGCTGTTCCATTGAGCAACAGGGATGACAGCATTTAAAAAAAAAAAGGTCAGCTAATTAGAACGTTTCTTTAGAGTGG